GCTCGGCCAGGCAACTCCGCCGCCTCGCACCAGGGAGAAGAGGAAGAAGCGGTGGAAGCACGAGGGCCAACTGACAGCAGATCGCCGTGCGAGGGCTCTGCTTGCAGACGAGTTAGGCAAACAGGAAGAATACATCAACCAGTTTGGGATGGTCTGTGCTGAAGAACAATCGAATTGCCGAGTCCGCACAGCGCGATTGACCTGTAGGGCCAGGCGCCTGCATGGGCGGCCCTCGCCGTTCTTGCGCCCCTCTTATGTCAGCGACCACGCACGAGAACTCATCGCTCAAGGTACCCGTGGAAAGGACTACGGAGTACTCGCTGGCGTACTGGTCGCAGGGTTGCCGCTGGCTCCCGACGCCCATAATAGCCCTTGCACTCTTGCTATCACTTGTGCTGTTCACCAGGCGTGCCCCTGGATCCCACCGTGGCAGCGTTCCAGAGTCGCAGCGGTCAAGAGCCCGCGGAGTAGAGATGGCGGGCCTCACGCGGGCGGCGGAAGTCGTGGGCGGGGGAAAGGGGAGCAGGGGGGAGAGGCGGAGGGAAGGAGGAATCGAATCGAATCGAAATACGTGAGGTATTGCGTTTGCCTATCCGCGGAAGCGGCCTTGGCTACTCCTGGCGGCGATGCGAGCGCGTGACATCTATCTCGCCTCCCGCGAGAGGATGCCCTGTGAACCTTTCATGGACTGTGAAAACTTCCCGCGCGAACAGGAACAACACTAGCAGTATTCGACGTCCCACGCACGCCGACTTAGCAGCGGGGGAGCCTTCACGCACCACAACACCGCTGGGAAATTTCCCCAATCACACATATGTGTGATCACCTCCTCATCATCATCATCCTCCTCCTCCTCCTCCTCCTCCTCCTCCTCCTCCTCCTCCTCCTCCTCCTTTCAGGCACGAGCAATCGCAGGGCCATCTACCGAGAGGCCGAGCGAGAGCCGACAGAGAAGGCGAGAAAGGGAACGAAAGCCCGTTGGGCCGAGACGATCGACGGGGGTAGAGACCCACAGGTAGAAGACGCAAACTCGAGAGGTGGGAAAAGGAGGATCGACCCGTCTGGGGCCTGACTCGCACCAGTCACGGGCACCGCCGCTCGAGGAGGAAGGGGGGAGGGACGAGGAGGGACAGAGGGAGGGATGAGGAGGGACGAGGAGGGACGAGGGGGGAGCGAGAGAACCAGCAATGGTGCATGTGAGTCACTAGCACCCTACTGAAAAGATATGGATCCGCCGCCCCCTGGGGGGCAAGCGGAAGGCGGAAGCCCCATGGGTGCGAGCACGCCCGAAGCCCAACACGACGACGGGGAACCCGAGCATCGGGGCGAACCCGCACCAGTGACGGCGAGCACAGGCATGGGGCCGAGGTCCTCGAGCAAGCGGCGCAGCGCACCGTCGTCTAGCACGGGCCAGATCCCATCGTCCACCGCGATGTTCG